ACAATATTGATTGATCATTGATCATCTAGATTTGATTGATCCGTTATTCTTTTTTTTCTCTTTTTAATAGAATAATAATATCTTTCTTACATACCAAAATCATATCTACTACTTTATAAACTCTAATAAAGGGGGTCTCCTTTTCCACCAACTTTAAAAAGAAGAAGGTTCTCGATTCGATTGTATATATTTTTTTATGTTTGTTACCTCATAACTCCGTCATTTATAAACCGATTTAGAAAGTTCTTTTTTGTCTGAAAGTATAAACTTACTGACTGGCCCATAGAAATGTTATCAAAATCGGTTCAGTATTTTTTACGTAAAAAAACCTGGTTTTGCCACAAGTGATTTTTTTTACGGAACACTATCTTAATTTATCTATTTTACATAGCAAAATATTATTTTACTTCAACGCATGGACAATTTATCTTAAAATCAACTTCCCATTTAACTTTTTAACTTCATTGTATTCGAATTAAATACAAAATTAAGATGTATTCTATGTCTTCTATAAAATATTATCTGTGTCAGTTAGGAACAATATTTACACCAAACTTTACAAGCAATTAACAATTTGCGATCGTTTATAGCGATGGGCTGCCAAAACGTTTCTTATCTGCAAATTGCCATCTTATGAATACAATTACATAATGAGGAAGATTTATGCATACATGTAGTACCAACATTACAATACAACTTGTGTTTACATAACCTATAAATGTCCAACTACAGAACATGAATTTCTTGTCATAAGTTGAGGGTATTAGCCTCTTAATACCGTGATGGCCTGACAATATTGTGTAGGATTTCATTCAAAAATTTTCTAATGTATTTGTACTTTGTTCCTCTAAGTAATTAAAACTGTGAAGGAAGCAGTTGCACCCTGCCAGGTCCCTTCTGGAAACCATCGTGATCAATTCCTCTACAATTCCCCATGACGATCCAACTGATCTCATAAGATTCTCATAGATTCATACACCACTGGTGTCCTCCTATTGTATACTATTAGCATAAGGGTATGCTCCATTTTATCGTTATCCATAAAAAAAATTATAAACACTGGCTGTTGCAATCATACATTTAAAAAGGCAAAATTCCAAGGAGAACAATTTAAACCTAAATTGGCTATCTAAAACTGGCATCAGCTAAAATTATATTTCTCATTACTCCATTGCATAAAAGGTGAAACAGTGATTTATCTTCGTAAAACATTAATGACAGAAGGGCCGACACTATAAGTATAAGAAATAAACGAAATTTCGCTGATGAGTCATTTAGAAAGTACTGATAACATACTTTGTAGTAACACATTTAAGTGGGCACTACCTACAAACAAGTGTTTTATCCACAGTTAATCTTATAATTTTAAAGTACTATTCTAGCCGAAATAAATATCACAAAAATAAGACAAACCAAGTATTAGATCAAACATTAATAGTACATTACTGCAGCGGCCAGCACTGAGTCATTGATGGACGAACGAAAGAGTTGCTCAATTTAATTGTAATTTTTTTTAAAGTTTGTTACCTTATAATTCCGTCAGGTGTTTTTTTTTTATACAACAGAATGGCAAACAAGCTACCCACCCGATGGAAAGTGATAACAGTCGCCTATAGACATGAGCAGTACCATGAACATAATAGAGTATACTGTTTCGCCCATTATACCTCCATTCGTTGCCATTCCTGAGGACTCAGGTGTTATTCCTATGCACCCTGTAAATTCACGACATAGCACAGCCACGGCAAAAACACAGCCATGCAAACACAACTACTTTACGGTTGAAACACGAATGGGATAGAGGTACCCAAGCAAACGACTTTTGTACAAAGTCTCCTTCTGGTAAAGAAAAAGGTGTAAACAGATTTGGAAAATTCTTTTACTATCAGAAAGGATAATGGAATACTTTTATATTAATCTTATAGCAATTTTATCAAACTCAGTCCAGTAGTTTAGTTTTCAAAGTAACTGGTTTTACCACAATTGAAGTCGGTTTTTTTTTTGTGGCACACAATCTTAATTATTTCAAATCTGTTAAAAAGAAATTCGTTATTCCATTCGATATGTTCATCATTACGATGCTCTTTGAAAATATTAAGGAGTGCTCTAATTGACTCAAGACGGATAGTTATCACGATCGGAAATTCCTACCATTGCCCAGGCCAAGTTTACCACGCCTCGAGAACGGCAGCGCGGGCCCCGGGGCTGTTTCACACGCTTCAAGCATACTTCCAAAATAACCACTTTTAAACCCTAACCCAAGTTAATATCTCATTATATTGATTGGTTTATCCTTTCTCCGGCATCTTCCAAATATGAACACATATGCATTGATATAGAAAAAACCCAAGATTCACATTCCTATACGAAAGTGGCACTTACTTGTGCTGTTCTGAATTTTAATTATATAAATGAATATTATGATAAATTATAGTATGAGTGGATAGATAGGTAGATAGATACTCTTTATTGTTTCCTCCAAAAGATTACAATAGTAAACTTATTATAAATATAAATAATTACAAGAAATAATCACAATGAGAAAACAATGGGCGACTTTATCGCTAAGAGCGATCTCTTCCAGGCAACCTTTGGATGGAGAGGAGGAGTGGAGTAGAAATTATACCGTTAATAAGAAACTGCTTGTTTAAACGGTATATTTTTACATAATTTAAAAGAAATACTTTGACAATTTTGACCACAGACCTCACAAATGGAGGATAGATACATACATATGATAGATATATTACACATGAATATAATATTTAGTTAAATGCACTTTATAATTTGGTACCGTTTATTTAACATTTACTTAAATGCGCTCTACAATTAGATACCGTTTTTTGAGTCTCATGTTGTGTATCTTTTTTATTTTTTTAAATAGCAATGCCAATTTAAAAAAATATTCACGATTTAGTCCATAAATTTTTCAACGCTACATTTAATTCTTTATGAGACAAGTGAGTCCCTATTAAATCTTAAGTGCCACTTGGAGAGACTCCTAACTTGTGAACCAACAATTCTACTTACAACTGATAAACTTAGTACCACAAAAAAATCAACTTTGTTATATATAATAATTAATATTTATTCGGTTTATTACCTAATTATTAGAAATTCACAAAGGTATAAACACTTTTGATATAAAAATGAATAATCTACATCAGTTCTGATTTGTCAAAAATATTGCCTGTATGTTATGTACAATAAATACAAATTAAAATTTTACCTCGCCTATAATATATATTTTAATAATTTAATTTCAATTTTTCATGAATAGATAATTTTATCATTAATATATGTGAATTATAATTGTAACTTAATCATTACTGTATCACCCATTAACTTTCCACTGCTGAACATAAGCCTATTTTCAGTAGTTGCCACGCTAAAAAGGCTGATTGGCAACCTCAGTTGGCAACCTCAGTTAGTTTTAGAAATGTTTAAAGGGTGCTGCTGCCTATCCTTCGACCATTACATTCCATCAGTCGCTTTTTACGACACCCACAAGAAAAAAGGGTTGGCCTGTTCTACGCCGGGACCATACGACGGTATTATTAATTGTCAGATTAACAAAAAATAATAATTACGATATATAAAAAAACTCCTTTTTGAAGTAGATGAAAAAATTCGATAAATAAGTAATTTTAAAATTTATTTTTAATAAAATATTGATTTTGTAAATCTAATATTAGACATTCAGTAAATAGTCAAATACGAGTACCTATAACGAAATCGCTACGCGATGCTTGGCTAAATTAACAAGGGAGCGACATGGATGTATACCCTAGTCCCTATTGTTCTATATTATAAGCTGAGACATCAAATGTACTCAGTACAAACATTGTCACTACTTGTTACTCAAATCCTTTGAAGCAATAAAATGTAGCCTTAAAACGCCAGTGTCGGATTTCATACTTAATAAACTGTTCAAGTTATGTCGAAATACCACGAAACAAACCGTTTGTGGTAATCGTAAACTCATGTGCATGGGACGTGAATAACAATTGGCTTTAATGTTTTGAATTATTGTATTAGTTGTACTGAATAGTAATGGGTTTTCCACAAACTCTAAAATGTCTGTATTAGGTATTTCAATTAATGCCTACGTTTTATTTTCAATACTTACTTTTATTCCATATTTGTCTACTGGTAAAAATAATTATTTACCTGTGACATACTTCAATATCTTGGACTGTGTCTTCAAAAAATACAATATAATATGTACATAATTTTAATTAATATTATAAATACGAGAGTGAATTCGTTTGTTTACTACGCTTTCACATCGAAACCGCTTAATAGATTGTGATGAATTTTGATAAAGAAACAGGTGTGACCCTAAACATCATTAGAGGCTACTTTTTTTTTATTAAAACTTATAGGGAGGGAGAAGGATCATTTTTATATGGAATATTTTATTACTTCGTCCGATTTACTTCAAGCTTTTGAGAATTATTGTTTATAATTCATAATTATATATAGTATACATATTTCTTTTTACAAACTCCTCCTTAAAGAGAGTGGGTTTATATATATATATATATATATATATATATATATATACAGACACGGTTTTATAGCTATCTTTGACGATAACGTCGAGAATTCTGAAACAAATTTTAATATTCCTTTCATATCATCTAACTCTAACTTACTGGATTTTTATCGAATCAATATGAAATATTTATATAAAAATAGTTAAAATACAAATACATCATGAATGTAAAAAATATAATCATGATGTATTTTGTACATTATATTTTCTTGTACATTTATCTTCCTATATAGGTGAACATATTGGTAACCTGTAAAAATCGCCTATAAATAAATTTAGAACCACGCTGTGTGGTCGAAATGAATAACAAAACATATATTCAACTTCTCTGAATATATGTGCCTCGCTGTATAAGCTAACAAAGAAATATATTGAATTTCTAGTGTGAGGCACATAAATGTTAGCGTTTCAGTAGGCACTGGGCAATAAAATATTTACTTACCTGATCGTTTTGATGAGAGGCCGCCGTCCGCGCCGCCTCCCTCCTCAGTTGTATTATCACCCTCTCCTTCGATTTTATTTCCTCCAGCTGAGAACAATAGACAGTAAATTCTTTAAAGCACCATAGTAAATATTCTCGAAGTCATAGCCACGTAACCGTGAGCTCAGACAAGAGTCGAATTTAATATGCACTGCGTCCGTACCATTTACTTATTTATGTTTAATTGTATGTAAATATTGGTTAAATATATCGGCATTGTAACCTCTTAGTTATGATACAAGTGTATTTATTATATTATCTGTGCCTAACATTCCGAATTTAAATTTGAAAATCGAATAACGCCTTAGAAACTTAATCCGATGGTAGACATGTCATATTGCTATAAAGGTTTTTAAAGGCGGTGTCAATAATGCGTTATGAATAGACATATGGATGCTATTAGAAGAAATAGACATATAAAAATATATAAATAAATTAGATGTGTTATATTGATCATTTCTGTCATCAATAACAGAAGGTTATAGGTTATGTTCTTAATCTATGACCAATTTTACTACACTGAATGAGCGGCTTGGTATAACATAAAGGACAATACACTTTCTACGTTTTGAGAATTTAATTTGATTATACTTTTCATTTATGTATTATGCTTCATTCCCCTAATAAATTTTTATAAAAGTTAATATAAAATACATACACATTAAAGATAGTTTATGCGGTCTTACTGTAAAATAAAGGAAGAAATATGTAAAAAAAATATGATACATTTTATTATTACTCATATACTGTCACCACTTGTGTGGATATTTCCTTTGTAAATATCTATTTGAATTAATAGGAAAACAAGGTATATCATGTTATATTATATCATGTTATGTTATATTTGTGGAAAAACCCTGACATTCAAAACCTAAAAATTTTATATATCAGGTTTGCTGGAAGAAATCTCTTATTAGAGATAAGTTCGCCTTTGTACATTACGTTTAAAATTAAATGATGTTATAATTATGTTTGTGTACAATAAAGAATCATAAAGAATCTAAGATAAATGTAAGATTTACTTTGTGCAATCATTCCTTTTATAGATGTGTATATATTATTAATTAATTGTATTGATTTTAGAGACTTAAAAATTTAGTAGATACCATAAATACGAGTGTATCATTAAAATGTCTGTTTTACTAATATAGGAAACCTGTTGTAGATTAGATACTTTTATTTTTTTTTTAATATAATATGTCATGGCCACGGACTGCCTATAAAATGCTCCTACAGATATCTAATATAAAAAATTGTCGGTCTTCCAAATACATAAATAAATTGTAATAATAAATAAATACCTTGCTATAGTAATCTTACAACATCTAGGTACTTATTTAAAACTAAACAATTACAATAATTATTATAAACCATGTTTACCTTTAGGATATTAAAATAATAGAAAAAGAAAACAAAAATTTTAACTGGAATATCTATAAATCCTCTTCTAGAAATCTTAGTTGACAATTATTCATATTCTATACAAAGCCTATTTCTATTTGCATTGATCAGTCAGTGTTTCCGTTTATTTATAACCTTATAGCTACATTTTTCCTTTTACAGATATTTAAAACTAACTATTTTTAAGTTAGAATATAACCTACCCATTTACCGTATAGCATTCAAATCCGTTCGGCCATTTTAGCGTGAAAGAATAATAAACGCCCATCCATACGTCTTTGCAAACTTTCGCATTTATAATAAAAGTAGAATTTATAGCTGGAATCATACAAATAAGTAAAATAAATCGTTAACCGCCTCCGCTATGAACCAAAGTGAATACACACCAGTTTATGGCATTGCGCGCGCGCATCTTTTCGCGCAGCTTGCTCCAACGCCGCATGCTTGGCCGCCTGCGCACGTAGCTCGGCCGCGCGCGCGCACTCCGCCGATTGTGCAACCTGTACATTATAATAAAAAAACACTGTAAGTACATATTATTTGCAATATATAAGCTATATTATTTTTAAAACATCTATATATAAAAGAAAACTAAATTAAAAATAGGTACTCTGTTTAATTACTTACGTATATATAAAGAATATAGCTACTTAATATTAAAAATATACTTGTGTAATGCTATTTTAATTGTAATCTAAAGAAAATCTAAATTATTACATGTTTCAAAATTCCAAATTCTGAAAACCGGATTTCAATATATTATCATCATCATCATCATCATCATATCAGCCTTTATTTGTTCACTGTTGAACATAGACCTCCCCCACAGACTGCCATAAGAAATATATAATAATAACATAATATTATATTTGGTATGAAATAACAACTAGCTTTAAATATTACATACTCTATTTCACTTCGTTATTGTGGCTGCCAATATTTTTCTTGCGACACTAATTGACAGGTTTTGTTAAACACACAATGCTAACTGACAATCAATTGATGATACTCGCTAGTGATTATAACGTTCCTCTTAATAGCGGTCTAAAATTTCACTACAACTCCAAAAGTCCACACGAGTTACACGTTAGTTTATGGCCCGAGCCTTCTAAATATTAAAAATGTTAATATTTCTCATCCTAACACTACTTGTTAACAATTCAAATTGTTCTTATAACGAAACAAGTATTCTGTATAATGAGATCTTTACGTACCATAAAGAAACGAGTGACAAAGCAGAATTTGCTAATCAAGTGGTAGACAAAATTTACAACTCATTTAAACAATGGTTCTTCACAATTACCTTTTGTGATTTCACGTACTTCGAAAATAGAATTCTTAAATATACTGAGACCAAAGACTACGGTTACCCTGTGTTGCTCTTGAATGGCTGTCCGGATACAAATACGACTAAAGTGAAACCTAGAATCGATAAACATGGACAGACTGCCTACGTTATAACTTCAGATAAATTGACTCTTGATGTTGGTGAGTATATAACACATGCCCTCGTTAGAACTGGTGTATTCAAGCCGAGAAGTGCTGTAATATTTGTCATAAATGTTCCCGTAGAAATAGATGACTATTATTACTACGCCATGCAAAGCCATTTCCAATTTTTGTGGTCACGCAGCATTACTAATTCAGTTCTAATGCTATGGTCGGATAAACTACAAATGTTTTCTTATAATCCATATTCGGATCAGTTAAAAGATATCACAAATGTTAAGGATGTAAGTCGTTTCCTAGCTCATCAATATCATAATCTTCACGGTTACGAGTTGCGTTTAAGTGTATTTAGGAAGAAATATCTTACTCGTGAAACTGGACCAGTGAAATGCGACTCTAGAATAGCGAAATTGGTCATGAAACGATTAAATGCTACGTGTAAAGCTCTACCTCCTAGAGATGAAAACACAGTTGGTGATCTTCTGGAGGATGGCAATGCTACTGGAGTTACTAGAGATTTGATTGATGGATATACTGACTTAGAATTAAATTCTCGAATACTTAAAAACTCATATTACGGATATATAGACACTAGTTATCCACTTATTCAAGACGAACTATGCTTTCTGGTTAAGAAGTCAGGAAAGCAATCAACATTTACAACCACTTTGAAATTAATATCAGTACAAATACTAATAATTTTAGTTTTTATTGTTATTGCCTTAATATTAATATCACTTTTGGCTAGAAAAGTAGAAAAAGATGTGTGCAATATTAAAGATGTCGAAACAACTGGAACGACTGTGATAGTTTTGATAAAATGCTTCATAAGACAAACAGCTGACATCAAATTTATGGGTTCAGTATTCAGATTTTTGGCTTTGATCATTATCATGTATTCACTTGTCATCGACTGTGTTATTGATGTGAGTATATTATATCTAATTGGTTGAACTTAATATAAGTTTTATATAAAATTATATTAAAGTTTTGTTAGTTTTTACATGCAATTTTGTTGTAATATTTTAGGGCATTTTGACATCTGCAGTGACCTATCCACGATACAAGCCGGAAATAAATACTTTACTGGATTTAGCGCAATCAAATCTAACTATCGGAGTGCATAATAGAGACTTAAGGTTATTTAAGAGGAGCTTATCTTCTGACAATAATGTTCTGCATAATCCAATCGAAATTTTTGATGATGACAAAATAAAAGAGGTCATTGAAGAAAGGCAATTTCAATATGCGGTACTATTAAGAAAATCCGAGGCTTTATATATTAGTAGGAATCCAGATAATATGAAAAACGGGAGACCATTATTCCATACTGTGCAGGAATGTCCATTGCCTTGTACCATTGTTTATGGCTTAAAATATGGCAGTCCGTATCTTTCAAGGATAAATACTATTTTAATATACTTAAATCAAGCTGGAATACTTCAACATTGGACGGAAACTGATGAATCAACGCTCAAACAAAACCTATATGACAACAACTATAAAGAGCAGAAGCCATTGATATTGGCTAATCTTAAAGAAGTATTCTTTGTGCTCCTGACAGCCTCATTTATAAGTACTGTAGTTTTCATTATAGAGATACTGTGGTATAGATATAAAAATGAGTGATTAATTTTTAATAATAGTAAAAATTTGTTGTTGTTTGGCTTTACTTTATAAATAAAATATTGCAAAACATATGTCGTAGCTTACCTTGAGTTTTTCTTGAAGACCCTTATTCGCCGATTTCAAAGACTGAATTTCTGTAGTTAACTTCTTAATTTCTATTAATCTATTACATGACTGTATCTCCTCGCTAACTTTTTCGGGTTTTGGTACTGTTCTTAGCTGCTTCTCTAAAAACTCCTCTTTCTTTTTGTACTCAGTCTTCAAGTTCCTCAGTGTGCTTTCGTGCTGTGCCTTAAGTGCTCTGACTTCGCTCCGCTCGATGTCGAGCGACTTTTTCAAGGTCGCATTATCAAGTCGTAACCTTTCGACCAGGCTTTTTAATCTGTTTAAGAATGCCTCGTCAACGGTTCGCTTGTGTTCCTCAGAAACTACGGCGGATACTTGACTGCTGGAGGTCGATGTGTCGGTAGACGCCATGTTGTGACGTCACCAACGTCGTTTTCACAATTCGGGACGTGTCCCGAACGTCCGCGGTCTTTGGCCTCGTACTATGATGTACGGATTGCTTTTCTGTCGTTATTCGATCGGTTGCTTCGGTTGTGTGTGGGAAGTGTAGCCAATTCTGAAATTAAATAAATTCTAACATCATAAATCAAGATAAATTATATAGGCAAAGCAAGTCAGCCAGATATTTGTAAAATCACGTGCATTACGCATGCCTACTCGTATGTACCGACACTATATTTTCGATATTCCTCCGACATTCAACCGACAGAATTCAGAACAATTAAGAAGAAATTCTATTTTATTTTCAGTAAATTCTATTGAAAGATAATACCTATTGAGAATGTACGCTACTGGAATTACATTCTGAATAGGCATAACGAATAATTGACCCGACCATAAGACAATCTACTGAGGTCGCGTACAGCCCGGTTTCATAAAAGTTTCCTCCCATGAACGTTCAGGTTATAAAATAAGCTCCCTGTTGAGTTTTTTACAAGAGACTACAACTTACAGTTCTTCAAAAAGGGGTAAAGAGGTTTTTTTTTAATGGGTGAAAATGATATAGTAACTACGCCTGCGCTAACGGGATATGCCGGCGGAGCACCAGTGAAGGGTGATAGATGAGAATGAGAACAGGCCAGTTAGCCCATCATGATGAATTCATCAGGAATTAACAATGATAGTTTCCAAGGAGAACCGCGAGGAGGTCGACCTGGTTGGATATATTACTAGCAATAGAATTCTCAGTCTCCATTACTAACAATCCCTTTCCACTCGGGGTAAATAGGTTTCTTCATGGTCGGCGACATGGATAATTCTCATTTCTATTCCTAAACTAGAGCAAAATTATTTTAATATTATAAAAGATTTTTTAGGCACTGTAAAGAAAATAAGAAAAATTTATAATCACATCAAGTGGTAGATTTTGTACAAAAGTCGTTTTCTTGGGCACTTCTGTCCCATTCGTGTTGCTACCGTGAAGCAGTTGTGTTTGCATGGCTGTTTCTGTTTGAAGGGTAAGGCTGTGAATTTACAGGGTACAGAGGAATAACACCTGAGTCTTCAGGAATGGCAACATATGGGGGTTATCATGGGCGAAACAGTATACTCTGTTATGTCCATGGTACTGTTCATGTCTATAGGCGACGATTACCACTTTCCATCAGGTGGACCGTTAACTTGTTTGCCATTCTAAGTTGTATAAAATAAAACATATATTTTTAATACATGTATTGACATTCATTTCATAGAATGTATTTGACAAAAACAAAAATATAATTCTAATTTCAATGTACAGAAAAAAAATTGAATAAAACCTCCTTAATAATCATTTAATCACATTCGCGCATAAATACTTCAAGTTCTAAACTAACTATAACTCCTCAGTAATCTACACGTCAGTGTGTTTGCGATTAGTAGCGTCGCTCTTAATAACTGCTACTGGAGTTCGTTGCTCTCATTAATAATAATCATAGCTTAGTTTAGTTTTAGGAGGGCGAGGGATGGGCAGCAGCGTCCCTCTTAAAACATCTCTAAAGGGTAATTGCGGTTGCCAACCCGCCTGCCAAGCGTGGCAGCTACTGGTAAAACCCTCCAAGGGGAAAGCTTATGTTCAGCAGTGGACAGTTAAAGGCTGATACGATGATGATGATAGCTTAGTTATGCCTAACCTAACATAATGATATTGGATGGAAATGGATTGTTAGAAATGGGGTCTAACATCCCCATTGCTAGCAATCCGGTCGACCTCCACGCGGCTACCATCGTGGTTAACTATTGTGGAATTCATCACCATAGATATGGTAAACAGACCTGATTTCATTCTCACCTATCACTCTTCACTGATACTCCGCTAAAGTATACCACAGCACTTATTTCTTATTAGTTTGTATGAAGTAAAGGTATTTTTCGTATAATCCTAAATTTCTTTCTTTTTTTAATTAACTTTATTAAACAAGAAAAACTGCCATATAATCCCGACGTAGTATGAACCAACCCTTCCCTTCCTGTAGGTGTCGTAAGAGACGACTAAGCGAACTTAATACTCGAGGGATGGGCAGCAGCGTCCCTCTTAAAGCATCACCAAAATCTGTGGCTTCCTATCCACTTGCCAAGCATGGCAACTACTGGCAAAACACCCCAATAGGAGGAACTTCTGTTCAGCAGTAAACAGTTAACAGCGGATATAATGATGGTGATGATGATGAAACGAAAACAAATAATATACTTACTCTACTAAAAAAAAAATTGCGTTATTTCCAATTACAATTCTACCAGAGGGAGACTTTGTACAAAAGTCGATTGTTTGGGTACCTCTGTCCCATTCGTGTTTCAACCGTGAAGCAGTTGTGTTTGCATGGCTGTGTTTCGGTTTGAAAGGTGGGATATGGCGTAAATTTACTGGGTACAGAGGAATAACACCTGAGTCCTTAGGAATGGCAACGCATGGGGGGTATCATGGGCGAAACAGTATATTCTGTTATGTCCATGGTACTGCTCATGTCTATAGGCGACGGTTACCACTTTCTATCAGGTGGGCCGTCAGCTTGTTTGCCATTGTAAGTTGTATAAAAAAAAAATATTTTATAGTAAATCCATAATATAAAAATTTCATAATCTTATCGAATTTTAATTAACCAACAAACAGATATAAGTGTGTATTTTTATATAGAAGTACAGAACTCTGCCCTGCATTTACATATAGAATGAAGCAAAAATGCTATTTACTTTATTATTCGTATTAAAAAAAACTAACATGCATTTATTTACGATCTTATTAAATACGTGACCTACTTTTTACTTAAGCGCTTAACGTATTGTAAGAATGGATGATTTATCTTGAATCATTAATCCCACTATGTGCCACATTCTGTACATACTAAATACTGATTTCCACACTGCAAGTTCTTAACGTCATCGTCCAAAAAGATATAGAAATTCTAAATGCGTAGGTTGACGTGATTCATGTTTGTATTTTTTAAAATTTTAGACTAATATTAACCTATAGATGATAATATGTACAGTAATATAAAATTTAAAAAGCGAATAAATTGATTCAATAATAAAGCATTTTCAATTATTTCATTAAACCAAACAAAACTGTTTAAAAAAAATCATTCATCCATATAGAACTATTTTATTACTTATGCAAGTAAACTTTTTACCCTCACCTTAAATTAGAGTCTTTTTTTTATACAAGTTAGAATGGCAAACAAGCTGACGGCCCACCTGATGGAAAGTGGTAACCGTCGCCTATAGACATGTGCAGTACCATGGACATAACAGAGTATACTGTTTCGCCCATGATACCCCCATGCGTTGCCATTCCTGAGGACTCAGGTGTTATTCCTCTGTACCCAGTAAATTCACGCCATATCCCACCCTTCAAACCGAAACATAGCCATGCAAGCACAACTGCTTCACGGTTAGAACACGAATGGGACAGAGGTACCCAAGCAATTGACTTTTGTACAAAGTCTCCCTCTGGTAAATCTATCATCCACTATAGAATTCAGATAAATTGAGGCCTATAAAATCAAAGGCAGCTAAACGCCATAACATATGTTAGATTTCATTTTCACTCTGTACTCAAATATAGAGGGAGTTCTATTAATTTAAATTCAAATTATTACTAATATTCTAATTTTCTTCAATCTGGTTTAAAATATAGAATACCGTTCCATATCCTTAACAAAATATTAGTTTTTGGTTTGGATTTACAAAATATTATTCTTTGGTCAGACTTGGATTTAGCTGTCTTTGAGTTACAATTATCATAGTTTACCTAAATGATTGTCATAATTCCCGTTTCTAAAACATGCAGCGCGAAAGTCATAAAGTTAATCATCTTCATCATCATCTCAGTAATTAGCTGTCTATTACTACTGAACATAAGACTCCCCATAGACTGCCATAAGGAACGGTCCTGAACTATCTGCATCTACAATGCGTTTGAGGTCGTCACCACACCTAATGGAGGATCGTATTAAGCGTTTGAAGGGATTCGCCAGTTATGAAGCTTGTTTCTCCATCGATTGTCGATTCTTTGAACTATATGACCAGCTCATTGCCACTTCAGCTTGCTTATCTTTCGGACTCTCTCTCCCATTTTGGTTTTTGTATGGATATCCTTAAAACGGATTCTATTACGCAAAAAACTCTCCAACTATAGCCTCTCCATTACTAGCTGAGTAACTTGAAGAAAAAGACTATATTATTGTTATTGGTTTTACTCTGTTATAAAATGCTTAACTTTATTTGTAAGCGTTATTAATTTTTTAAAATACACGTAAATAAATATATATTTCGTAATTTAATATTTAGTAATTAATTGGATAAAACAATGGCGGTATGGCCGTCCTCAATATCCGGTAATAAGCAGTAACATAAACAGAAATAGTAAACTCATTTAAACGGGGCGTGTGCTATCACTCAACATCGTGACATCATTACCTAATAACAGTAGCACGCCACTTACAGGCAGGCCTCGGGAATTCGGTGTTAATGTGTCAAAATTTTATATAGAAGGAGACTTTGTACAAAAGTCGATTGCTTGGGTACCTCTGTCCCATTCGTGTTTCAACCGTGAACCAGTTGTTTGCATGGCTGTGTTTCGGTTTGAAGGGTGGGATATGGCGTGAATTTACTGGGTACAGAGGAATAACACCCGAGTCCTCAGGAATGGCAACGCATGGGGGGTATCATGGGCGAAACAGTATACTCTGTTATGTCCATGGTACTGCTCATGTCTATAGGCAACGATTACCACTTTCCATCAGGTGGGCCGTCAGCTTGTTTGTCATTCTAAGTTGTATAAAAAAAAATATATAGACAAAAATAAAACAAAAATATTTATTTGGCACCTATCAATAACAATTACAACTAAAACATAAACAATTATAAACTTAAAGAGAAAAGAAATACAAAAATGAACTTGTACCTAATTAAAAATTATGCGACCAAATTGGTCACCACTTAGCTAAGTGTTTAGGCATACATACCTCCTAAACGCTAGTTTATATCTATCTATCTGTCTTAATATACATTTATTTATTTATTTGTTTATTTATTTATTTAAGGACAACCAACAAAACATACATTTATATCTACTTAAAA